GGACACAGTGCTGTGGACATGACTCTCCGGGGGTGCCCACCAGCAGCTGAGGCCTGGCCAGAAGCGGCCTTGGTCTCGCCCCACGTCACTGGGGGGATTTTCATACACCTTCCCCACAGGACAGCAGAGTCCTGGGGGTCCAGAGTCCTTTCCCTGTGGACAGAGGATCTGGTGACTAGGGCAGAGGGTGGGTGGGCTGAGGTGCCACGCTGGCAGTTGGCTCTGCTCAGCCCCCACCCCACTCTGTGTACGGTGTGGGCCACACCGCAGCCTCTAGAGCAGTCTGAATCTGGGATAAACCAGCAAAGACGGGAATGAGCCGAAGCCTGGCTGCAGAGTGAAAACAGGCCGGGGCAGGCGCAGGCTCCCGGGGCCGGGGCAGCGAACGGTGGGCTGGGCCTCCTGGCTGAGCGCCTGCCTCCCCCAGCTGTACCTGCGGGAGCTGCTGCGCCTGACGCACACCCGCTTCTACCAACACCTGGTCTCCCTGGGCGAGGACGGCCCGCAGATGCTCTTCTGCCACCGCTGGCTGCTGCTCTGCTTCAAGCGCGAGTTTCCCGAGGCCGAGGCGCTGCGCATCTGGGAGGCCTGCTGGGCGCACTACCAGGTGAGCCGGGGCGGGGGGCCTGCTGGGCCCACTACCAGGTGAGCCAGGGCGGGGGGTCTGCTCAGCCCACTACCAGGTGAGCTGGGGGGCCTGCTGGGCCCACTACCAGGTGAGCCGGGGCGGGGGGTCTGCTCAGCCCACTACCAGGTGAGCTGGGGGGCCTGCTGGGCCCACTACCAGGTGAGCTGGGGCGCTATGAATCTGGGAGGCCTGCTGGACCCACCGTCACATGAGCTGGGGTGGGGCCCACTGTCAAGTGAGGTAGGAAGGGCCCCCTGCCAGGTGAGCCAGGGGCCTTGTGGGCCCACCATCAGGTGATCCAGGGCAGGGCATGTCCCCATGGCTTCCCTAGGATCCCCTCCTGCACCTCCCTGCCCGCCAGCCCCACATCCACTCTGCGTGGCGAGTGCTCTCTGGTCCTAGTTGGCTAGCTCCGCCCTCAAGACACAGCTTCACTGTTGTTGAGACGGGTGCAGACTGCCCACTGACCGTGCTCACGGCCCAGCTTGGGCCAGGCTCACTGCTGTCACAGCCAGCTGTGGTGAAAGACGTCAGTGGGGCCAGTGGGCTGCCCTGAGGGTGGGCTGCAGAGGGTCCACCCGGAGGGGTCAGAGCCCCGCCTTTCTCCTCCCCCGGCGGCCCTGCCTGGCGGCGTGGGCGGGGTGCATCTCACTCTCCCTCTGGCACCGCCAGCCCCTCCTAGCAATGTCAGCTTCTGCCTGCCACCCCCGCCATCAGCGTCCCCTCTACACAGTGCCCTGGAAAGGAGTGCCGGGCCTGCCATGTGGCCTTGCTCTCAGAGCGGGGACACGCTGGCATTTTCAGCCGTGAGTGAGACTCTGACAGGAATAGTATTGATGTCCCCGGCAGGTGCCCGGTCCCTCCTGCCAGCGCGGGCGCCATCCTCCACGTGGCAGCCCCGGGCCTTTGATGGGCCTGACCGACCGGGAGCATTGAAGGCATGCCAGCCACAGGCCTTTCCTGCAGCGCTTCCGGCCTTCCTCTCCTGGGAGGCTGTAGCTGACGGAAGGGGATCGCAGGAAACCCTGCGGTGTCGCCATCGTGGTCACTGGATCCATCTGCCCTCCCGCGCCTTCCCGCGCAGGCTTGCTTCACACTGTAGTGGTTGGGGGCCGTCAGACCCCACGTGACAGAGAGGAACTGCCACATGGGGTTTCCTAGGCTGTCATCTTTACAGGTGACCACGGTCAGGTCTTTCTCCCAAGGAACCACTGGATGGGTTTGAACCGTCAACCTCCTGGTTTGTGCTTAATCAGCACTGAGGAAAGAGCAGGGCAGGGAGAGTCCAGAACCAGTGAGAGAGAAAACACTGCTTCTGCCCTGCGAGGCATCAGCGTGTGCTTCTCCAAGGGCCAGCGTGGCCCCACCGTGCCTTGACGTTGACGTGAGCTCTCCCACCCCTGGCAGCCGGGCCACCTCTCACGGTTATGCTCTGCAGTCCCAGGCCTGATGAACCCAGTCCCATTGCAGGAGGGGCCATTGGCAGGGCTCCATGGCAGCCATCTTGTTTGGAGTCCACAGGTCCCACAGATGTTGCCTGGAGACGACGTGCTACGTTTAGCCAGTTCGGGTCCTATCCTGAGACAGTAGCTGCCCAGCGGTTCAGTGGGCAGGAGACCCTTGGGTTGCTGCCTGGGCATCCCAACCTACCTGGAGTGATAGCATGAGAGGTGGGGGACGCCCTAGGCTGAAGGGGGTAAGGTGGGCCGATTCACCAGGAGTTCACTGTCACCTGGGAGTGAGCCCTAGCGGAGAGGGTGTCGCTTCCAGGTGATGCTCTCAATGTTTGGAGGAGAAAGGTTCATTTGAGCCGCTCGCTAGTGGTTGGGTTGTCAGTGGCTCTGGTCCCTGACGGTGCTGATGGTGAGTGTGGTTGGCTGCTAATTGAAGGGTTGGAGGTTGGAACACTCCCAGAGGCGCCTCAGAAGGACAGCCTGGTGAGTTCCATTGGCCGCTGGAAACTCCTGCGCACAGTTCCACTCTGACACAGGTGGGGTTGCCGCACGTTCAAGGGGATGGGTGGCACCTGGCTGCCAGCGGAGACTGGGTGGCCATGGGCCTTTCCCTGTGGACTGAGAGTGGCCCTGGGCCCAGCCCGCCTGGCCTGGAACATGGCCGCCCCTTCCTCTCACATCCCTCTCTCAGGGGAGCTTGCATCCTGGGACTCCTCCACGTCTCCTCACCCCTGCTGGAGTTCCCGTGGCTGCAAAAGCCCGGACAAGACCATGATGGAGGAGCTGGAAGGCAGGGCTGGACAGGGCAGGGCCACGGTGCCTGGGGGATGGTCTAGACTCATGGGTCTGTCCCAGGGGGCTTGGGTGTGACGTTCCCTCCACAGGCTGGTTTGGGGATGTGGTTCCGTCTGGTCTGGGCGGCGGACATCCGAGACTAAACACAGACTTCCCCTGCTCCCTGTCCTTCCTCTGGCCCCGGAGCGAGTGAACATCAAAGGCAGCATGAAGCATCCTGCAGGACGGTGCAGGGTGGACCGAGGTTGGGGCCCGGGCTGCTTCCTGCTACCCTGCCAGGCGCGGCCAGGATGGGCACGGGAGGTGTCCTCGCGGGCAGCCAGCCCTCACTGGGTGTCTTCTATCGACCTGACAGAGGGCTAAAGATGGTGCTAGAGCCCATGAGGATGGCTGCAGCCTCCTGCCCTCCGCTCCGTGAGACCCTCCCTGTTTCCTTAGCTGCTAAACCAAACCCTAGCAACCCTACAGGACACAGCAGAACTGGCCCTGGGGCTTCCCAGGCTGTGATCTGGCCACATATTTCTCCCGCGGAGCAGCTGGTGGCCTTGAACCATCAACCTCTTGGTTAGCAGCTGAGGGCTTAGCCACTGCATCACCAGGCTCCTTCCTTAGCCACTAGGTTGGTCAATTTTATGTGTCATGGTGGCTAGACAACGTTGCTCAGTCGTCTGGTCACGCACTAGTCTAGGTATTGCTGTGAAGGTGTTTTGTGGACAGGTAACATCCACAGTCAGTTGGCCTTAAGTAAAGCAGACCAAAAAAAAAAAAAGAAACCAAACTCACTGCTGTCAAGTTGGTTCCGACTCATAGTGACCACTCCTTGGGTTTCTGAGACAGTGTCTCTATGGAAGTAGATTGCCCAGTCTTCCTTCTGAGGAGTTGAACTACCAGCCTTCTGGTTAGCAGTCAGGCCTTAGGTACCACGCCACCAGAGTAAAGCAGGGAGCGCTCTGTAATGGGGTGGGCCTCATCCAATCAGCTAAAGGCCTTAAGAGCAAAAGCTGAGTTTCCTGAAAGAGAAAGGATTCTACCTCAAGATGTCAGCCCAGGAGCCCTGCCACGTCTCCAGCCCATGCCTGGCCCACGCGTCTCGGGCTGGTCAGCCCTGCAGGCACATGAACCAGTTCCCTTACATGCAGTTCTGTACTCGGAGGCAGTGGGGGCTCCCGGTAGAGTTCTCAAGAGACCCAGGCTCGATTCCCGCGGTGGCGTCTTGAGAGTTGGTGTCACCCTGCATGGACCTCCTCCCGTACCAGACCGCACAGAATGCCCAGGAAGGTTTTCTGGATGAATGTCTCACGTCAGTCGTAGCTCCTGTACATCACGGAATATAATGGCAGTCAGGGTGACAGAAGCCACCAGCCAAATTAAAATCACACCTTAAGCTGCAGGATTGCATGTACAGCCTGAACGTGTTTATGTAGTTTCATGTGGTTAAAGTGAAAATTCGGGGAGAAGACGAGAGAATCTGAAGTAAAACTGTTTAAGAACTAATTAAAACTGTGTCCATTTTCCTATTAAACTTGAGCTATGTTCACGGATTAGGTTTGCGTCCTTGGTAACGGCCTGATAGACAGTCACTGAGGCTGGCTTTGCTGCGGCGTGATGAGCACCCCAGTGTGGTGGGGCCTGTTCCCGGACCCTTCAGCGTGGCCCGCTTACACTCCCCACTGATGAGGGGAAGCAGCAGAGAAAGAAGACGTCGTCTTGGGAGTTCTGAAAACTGTCACACGCGATGCATTTACGGCGACGGTGCTGAGCGCTGACACGGAGAGAAAGCCCACACAGCCAGCCTTGCTTTTTCTCTTCGGGTGGCCAGACGTCTCAGATCCCAGCCGCAGCGGCAGCATTTCCAGAACCTTGACGAGCCATGTCCTGTCCGTCACTTTCCAGTTTTTAAGAACATCAGACTGCACTAGTAGCCTTTTTCCCCTTTAAGGGGACAAATCCTAGAACGACTTCTTTTCTTTTATTTCCGTGTTCCTGTTGTTGATTTTCGCCTGTCTGATCACTTGACGTCTGGGGTAAGGTGTGCTGTCAGGATCCCACACTACTGCACACTCTTCTGTCCGTGGAGAGCTTGTCCCCACGGCCTGCCAGGCCGTTGTGGCTCATTCCGCATTTGGCGGAAGGTGAGAGTGGACGCTGAAGTTTCCACGTGCCCTGCTTCAATCCTGTCACGGCCCTTCCTGCTCCGGGTCCTACCAAAAGCAGCTTGAACGTGTTGCAAACACTCCCTCATTCAGTGAAGGGCCCTCTTCCCTATGGCTGTGGAAAGGCGGGTTCTGGTGGCAAGAAACTGTGAGGTCTGGCGGTCTGTGCTGGACCCCCCTGTGCCTTCTCCATCGTTGGCGCTCGTAGGCAGCCTCGACTCAGCTGTGTGTTCCCACTTCTCAGGGCCACAGAAGGGCCCGTCAGGTGTCTCCTGGTCGTGGAGAAGGGTGGTATCCCTCATGCACCCGGAGTGACAGCATTATAAAAGACGCAAAGAGACGCAGAAGGAGGATGGCCGTGGAACGCCGGAGTTCTGCTGCAGCTACGACCCAGGAATCTCGGGGGCCACTAGCAGCTGGGAGACAAGACACCTGCCCTAGAGCCTCGCAGAGGTCGTGGCCTGCCGGTGCCCTGACGCAGGCTTCTGGCCTCCAGAGCTGCAGGACAACCAGTTTCTGTTCTTTAAAGACACCTGCTCAGTGGCCCTTGGTCCCGGCCGCCCCAGGTCACTCATCTGGCCCATTTGCAGAGGGAGAAACTGAGGAAAAGCCTCGCGATGTGCCCTATGGCCTGCGTGTGCAGGCTCTGAGCCCAGGCTGCCTCTCCCTGGGGCCCTCCCCCTGCACACAGCCTCTACCCGAGAGGCCAGGCCTGCGGCTGGGCCGGTGGTCTCATCCGAGGCTCTCTTTTCCCTAGACGGACTACTTCCACCTCTTCATCTGCGTGGCCATTGTGGCCATCTACGGAGACGATGTCATCGAGCAGCAGCTGGCCACAGACCAGATGCTCCTGCACTTTGGAAACCTGGCCATGCGCATGAACGGGGAGCTGATCCTCCGGAAGGTGAGCCCTGCCCACTCTCCCCACTTGGGGGTGAACATGCACATGAATGGGGAGCCCATCCTCCACAAGGTGAGCCCCACCCCCAGGCAACTCAGAGGGCCGCGCAGGCTCCTGTGACCCTGGGCTCTTCTGGGCCACCCCCACGGGGCCTCTGACCTAAAGAGCACCTCGCGGTGGCCTAGGCTGCCCTAGAGGCTGGGAAGGAGGAGGGTGGCATCTTCATCAAAGTCAGAGGACAGGGTGGAGGCAGTTCCTTCAGAAGAGGTGAGGAGGGTCCCCAGGGTCAGAGATCCAAGGGGAGAAGGAGGGCGTGGTCTGGCTCAGGACGGACCACGACCGGGCTGAACAAGGAACCATGGAGTGGCGGCGCAGGGGCCAAGGCAGAGTGGGGTCTTGCAAAACAGGGACTGAGTGGGCCTGTCCGGCTTGGGCAGGGGCCTTGCGACATGCTTTTGGCCACCCTACCCCCTTCCCAGTGGGAAGGCCGCTTGGGGGCCCGCTCTGCCTGCAGCCCGTGTGAGCCCCGAGCCCCTCATCTGTGCTGTCACTGCAGCCCTGACCCCAGGGTCCCAGCCTGCGGTGCTGGGCGGGACACAGCGGCCAGGCTCCCCTGGGCACCCAGCAAGCCGCGGTGTTGTGTGGCTTCGCAGCACGTCGGGAAGCCCGACCGCCGCCGCCCACCATCGCTGCTGTCTCTCTGCAGGCCAGAAGCTTGCTGTATCAGTTCCGCCTTCTGCCTCGCATCCCCTGCAGCCTGCATGACCTGTGCAAGCTGTGCGGGCCGGGCATGTGGGACAGTGGCTACATCCCCGCCGTGGAGTGCTCCGGCCATCACCCCGGCTCGGACAGCTGCCCCTACGGGGGCACAGTGGAGACGCCTTCGCCCAAGCTCCCCCGAGAAGGCAGGAAGGGCCCGAAGACACCTCGAGAAGGCTTTGTCTTCCGCAGATAGGCTGGGGCCCCCCCACGCTGGACGGGGGTTGAGGGGGTCCCAGTGGAGGGCCCTGCATGTGGGAGGGGTGGGCAGGCGTGGAGGGGGCAGGGGAAGGTTGGAATGTGAGAAAAATGCATTTGGGAAGCTTTTGGTGTTAACTGCAAAATCGGAGTCTGGAAGGCACAGAAGCAAGATCTGCCACCTGCGAACCAGAAGGCCGGCGGTTCAAACCCACCAGCCACTCCTCGGAAGGAAGGTTGGGCAATCTCCTTCCGTAGAGATACTGCCTGGGAAACCCAAGGAGGGGTCGCTAGGAGTTGGATCTGACTCGACGGCAGTGCGTTGCATTGCTTTTGTGTTCCCCAGAGAAAAGACTACTCCATAAACACTGGAACCGGATGCTTGGGCTACCACCTAGAAGCCAAAGGGCCAGGCTCCCCCGTGGCGGCCTCAGTGGGTGTCAGTGTGTCCCACAGTCCTCAGCTTCTTTACTGGCCACTTCTCGACCCACCTGCCAGGGAACAGGGAACGCAGGGCCAGAGAAGATGGTCCAGCTCACCCACCAGCACCAAAGGATACAGGACAGAAGGTCCCTCCGGGCCCAGACACCCATCGCCTGGCCGCAGTCCCTCGTGGGGGCCCAGCACCCGCCCCATGGCTGCCCCAGGCAGATGGAGCTCCTAGGATGACATCTGCATGGCTGGCTTGGGGATGGAGAAGGGTCAGGGCCGTGAGGGTTTGAGGAGTATAGGGCTTTGAACACTGCATGTGCTTGTCTCGCACATCTGGCATGGAAAGGATGTGGGAAGGCGCCTGGGCCACAGGCAGGTGGGGAGGTGTCAGCTGCATCTCCCATGGCTGGCAGGTTTTCTCCGGGAGGTTCCTCAGCATGACTTGGGTCAGCTCCTACAAATGCAGCACCCAACCAGGGCCTGAACGGGTTAAGGGGTGTGTGTACACGTGTAATATGTATGAGTGTGTGCATGTGTGTGGTGTGAGTGTGCATGTGTGGTGTGTGTGGTTTTTGCATGTGCATGGTGTGAATTGTGGGCATGCATGTGTGTGGTGTGAGTTCATGTGTGTAGTGTGTTTGTGGTGTGCTGTTGTGAATGTGTGTACATGTGTATGGTGTGTGTGCATGTGTGGTGTGCATGAGTGTGCATGTGTGTAGTGTGAATCACTGCATGTGTGGTGTGCATGAGTGCATGTATGTGGTGTGTGTAGCATGTATGCATGTGTGGTATGCATGAGTGCACGTGTGTATGTATTTGCATGTGTGTAGTGTGAGTGTGCCTGTGTGTAGTGAATGTGTATACATGTATGGTGTACATGAGTGCATGTGTGTGGTGTGTGTGTACATGTGCATGGTGTGCGTGGGCATCTGTAATGGGCATGTGTGATGTGTGTGCATGTGTGTATGAATGTGTACTATGCGTGAGTGTGCGTGTGTGTATGTATTTGCATGTGTGTGGTGTGCATGAATGCATATGTGGTGTGGGTGTGCATGAGTGCACATACATGGTGTGCATGAGTGTGGTATGCATGTGTGCATGTGTTGTGTGCATGTGTGATATGCGTGTGATGTGCATTGTGATACACATGCATGTATGTATTTGCATATTTGGTCTGTGTATGTGCATTGTGCAGTATGGATGAGTGTGTGCATGTGCAGGTGTGTATGTATTTGTGTGGTGTGCATGAATGTGCATATGAGTGGTGTGAGTGTGCATGTGTGTAGTGTGAATGAGTGCATAATGGGAATGAGTGTATGCATGTCTGGTATGCATGAGTGCACATGTAGTGTGCATGAATGCATGTGTGTGGTGTATGCATGTGAGGTATGTGTGTGCACGTGTGTATTTGCATGTGTGGTGTGAGTGACTATGTGTAGTATGAGTGTATATGCATGTGTGTTGTGTGTGCACATGTGCGGTGTGCATGTGTGTGATGTGTGTGATGTGTGTGTGTGCATGTGGGCACGTGTGCATGTGTGTGGTGTGTGTGCATGTGTGTAGTGCGCATGAGTGTGTGTATGTGAACATGCATGTTTCTACACATGAACTCAGTGTCCTCTGAAGAGATACCTATTGCTCAGAGGACGGGCTCATGTATTAACCCAAGACAAAGGCACCTGAAAGGAACCAGGAAGACTTTGCACACTCTGTGAACAGGGGTCTTCTGTGAGTCAGCCTGTCAGGTGAAGTAGCCAGCCCTCAGGACACCTGTTTTCTGTGTGGGAACAGTCTTCCTCACATGCTCCCTCCTCCAGAGCATTGCTGGTTGCTCCTGCTGGGACTTAAAGATGGCAAGGCTTGGCTACTGCTGTGCCATGTAGGGCTCCCAGAAGGTTTAAAAGCCACTCTTTGAACTGAGGAGCAAGGGTCCTCCGTCACATCCTCTGGAGGGCAAGACCCTTCCCCACAACCAGGTGTGTGCTGAGTTGTCATGGGGCACATGCCTGACGCAGGCCTCTTCCTGCTTTTCTCCTGGAAGGGTGAGTGCTGCATCAACGGGAAAATTCCTAGCCCTACTCTTCTCCCCAGCTCCTCTCTCCTCCATGAGCTCAGGCCTCTAGCAGACAAGAGTCTGAGGCTGGCACATCCCAGTTCCTGGGTCCCTCTGTCCAAGAGCCTTTCTGGGGAGACCACCCTAGAGCTCATCAGTGCCTAGGTCTTAGGGTGACCCATAAGAGTGCGGAAGTGGGGTCCAGGCTGGGGACAGGTGAACTTCTCATCCTGTTCCCTTCCAGGAACAGAAAATGGCTTTGTCATACTGCCTGCTACTGAGTGCCCTTAGGCATGTCCCGCACGAGCCTCTGACTGAGCGCCCTTAGGCACGTCCTGCGCGGCCCTCTAGGCACCAGGTCCCCGTGGACTGGTGCATCAGTTACCTGCTGCAGTGCTACTGTATAACAAGTAGCCCCAGAGCTCAGGGGTCTGAAGCATATGCACCCCTTTAGCACATGAGTCTGAGCATCAACTTCAGGCTGAGAGTTCCTTCTGGGTGTGTTCAACTGAAATGCCAGGGACTCAGCTGGCTGCCAGCTGTGTGCTCGCGTGTCTGGGGGTCCTGGGGGCAGTGGTGATGGTACAGCCCATGCACCTGTCAGCCTTCCAGCCCCAGCGAAGGCCAAGGTCCTGAGCAGAACCTCTAAGCCTGGACCGCACCTGCCACCACTCCCCAGCCAGAGCAGGTCACGCAGCCAGCTTCAGCATCGAGGGGTGGGGAGATAACGACCCCCTCCTTTTTAGTGATGGGCTGCACAGCCCGTGACAGAGGGCTGGGGCTACAAGGTGGGTGAAGAGCCAGCCACTCAGCTGGTAAAAGTTCCAGACACACCTTCTGCCAGGGGCACCGCCTTCCCTGGAGGTGCAGGGACCCCAGAGCAGGGATGGGGGGCCTCTCACCATCCCCGTCACTCCCCACAAGGAATGTCCTGCAGTCAGCCCTGCATCTTACATGATACCTCGTGCCTTTGGGCTGTTGTCTCAGTCTGGGGCAGACCCGGGATCCACTCCCCAGGGAGGGGTCTGGGTGGGAAACATGCACTTGGTATTTCCTGGCTCCCTGGACCCCCACCCCCTCGACCCCCATACCCAACCCTGACTGTTCCAGGTGCCACCCCCACTGCTCCCACTCAGGCCCAAGGGCTCTGCACGGCCAGGGTGTGGGACCTCAGACACCATGGGTCCCCATTGCTCCACCAGGGGTGGGAGAGCCCCCTGCACAGCGCCCGTAATTGATGCAATTAGCTGGAGGCAGCCAACCCCAGGCCCTGTCGCCTGGGACTATTTCCTGCCAGCACAAGGCATTAGGGGACCCTTCCATCATCAGATGCCCAGCCCCCGCCGAACGTGCAAGCACGGGCTGAGTCCCCACTCCCGTCGTCCGCGATGCCGCTTGTTCAGCCCATTTGTTAACATGACACCATGTCATTGGCTAGCGTGCGTGTGTCTGCATATTTAAGCATGGGGGCCATGCCATCTGTGCCAATGTATATGGGGCAGGGCGTCTGGGGGTACAGTGCCCTGTGCCGAGTGCCACGCACAGGGGAGCATGTGGGGTTCACTGCCCGCCCACCGGGGGGCCCACACGGACTTCACCCACCACTCCCAGAAGAGGGACGACAGCAGGAAGCTGGCCCGGGGGGCAGGGGATGCACACGCTGGAGTGACTGGCCTTGGGGTTGGGTTTTCGCTCAGCAATGTGGGGTGTGGAGAAAAGTCCCTAGGTCTGAGGAGTCAGTGTCCTTGAGCCACCCTTCCAGGCCGGAAGGCCCAGCTCTGCTGGCAATGTGAGGCGCGAGTCATCAGCAGGCACTCACGGGGCCGGCCGCCTGGGTGAAGGCTGTGATTCCAGGAGGAAGACGGCCCTCTCACCCGTTAAGGCCCGGGGAAAGCCTGCCTCCAGCCCTGTGGGGGCAGGTGGGACAGCTGGGCAGGGAAGCCTGGTTCTGACACATGCTTGGGGCCAGCGCCCTGTCCTTGGGGTGATGGCCTTGGTGAGCGGGCATGGTGGGTGGCCACTGGGAGGGGTATCTGCCCTGGGTGGCCTCACCCAGCCTCCCCTCCCTCCTGCGGGGAGGCCAAAGGTGCGGGGCAGAGGGGAAGCAGCATTCTCCCACCCGCCGGCCCCACAAAGGCCCGGGCAAGCTGCCCTGCCAGGGAGTGGAGGGAGGGACTCCCAGGTGGACGGGGTGAGGGGGGGAGGGATCTACGAGGCTGGACGCTCATCCTGGGAAACCCCTGGAGATCTGATTCCATCAGTCCTGAGTCTGTAAGGAGCTGCCAGCTGTCCCCAGCCCAGCAAGAACAGCCCGGAACTGACAGAGCAAGCTTGCCCACGTCTGTGAAGTCTGAGCACAGTGGCCCCTGTAGGTGGGCAGGAGCAGGGCCGTGGGAGGGCCCCTAGGAATCAGAAGCCAGTTCGAGTCCTGCCTCGTTCACCCAGGTGCGTGGTCCTGACTCAGGTGCTCGGTTCCCCATCTGTAAACACAGCAATGACACTGCTGTGGGGAT